AGTGATTATAGGATTTGTGTGAGTATTCAAAGTTTTGTGTGTTTTTATGTACGTGAGTGTTTAAAGATTGTTTAAATTTGGAATGAAAATGTCTTTATGTAGTACGTCATTAGTGATGTACCAAGAAGCACCTGTTATTAATCATAGACAAATAGATTGAAAAGCCTGTATTGTTCTGGTGTTAGACGGTTTCGCTGAGCCCCAAAGTTGGATACCCTAGTACCAGATGGGTATTAGAAGAGCCATGTAGATTGTACGTTTTGTTTTGATTGAGAGCTTAAAGCGGAGTAGAGGTCTTAGAAGGTGAAGTCTCAAATCGAGAGCTTTGTGTTTGTTTTTTAAATGAGGAGCCCTAGTGAGGCGTTTGTCAAGCGTTAGTCCCAGGTATTTAGTTTGTGTGTGAGAGGGTATTTGTGTATTTTCGATAAACGTTGGAGAGTATTCCAAGGAACGTAGGGTGAATGTGACTTGAAAGAATTTTGCTGGATTGACGTTGATTTTCCAGTTGTAAAACCCAAATGTTTAGCTCAGATAAGTGGTTTTGGATTTTTTGAGTGGCTTGGTTAGGATCGTTTTCGATAGCGAGAATAGCAGTGTCGTCCGCAAATATACCTAGTATGATCTGTTTGACACCATCTTAAAAGATATAGCTGAATTTTGGGAATCACAGAAACCATAATTTTTAACATTATATGAATAAATAAACTCATTTTTATATTTATATTTGTTGTTATATGGGTGGCGGGGCTCTTAAAGTTTTCACTCACCGTGGCGGGGCTACAACAAACCAGTACCATATAGAGTCCGGATATTTAGTTATCATTATTTGCGGTCATAGAATATAATATATTCTATATATTATATATATATATATATATATATACCTATACAATATACTCAGAATAATTATAATAGTATAAGAAGTGAAATGGGCTAAAGTAAATCAATAGTTTTGGCACTTTTGCATATCCACAGGCAGATTAATTTATTAACTGTATTATTAAATGTAGAAAAAACAATAGACTGCTTGTTCTAAGAACAAAAGATGTAGAGATGTTGTTAAATAAACCAATAAAATACATTTTTATATAATGACTATGCTGATTTGTTTTTGTTAATATAATATTTCTTTGACAAAAATATTTTGTAGAGAAAACAAGTTCTTAATTCCAAAAGATGAAAAAAAAGAAATGGTTCTACACTCTATAACTGAATCCCAGATAATTTAATATTATTTTATTTATTATACGCAAATATATATTTATTTGCTTAATTTGAAAATCTAGATATGTAAAACATTATGCACATTAAAACATTTAGATAAGTACTAAAGAAGAACTATAAAGGGATTTCGACCTACCACAGAAGAAATCTCATTAATATATGACATGCTTTACAGATTTTCTTATGGTCTAGGTGAAAAATAGATAAAAAGTGTAGTAACTTTTATTAGGCTCATGTGTAAGGAGTTTGGGGTTTTAACCTTCTCATTGAGGCTATTTTTACATACATTTTTACTAAAAATTTACCTAATTCTCATTTTATAAATGTTTAACTGACTTATCATATATAGTTGTCAATTATTGTTTTAACAATGCCAATTTTCTTGATTTGACGACTTTTTCTATTTAATTTTTGCACATTTTCCACCTTGTTCGAGACGCACAACTAGTAATTTCGGAGTGCCCGAAACCGGTCCGATATCTTATTGGATTGATATATTTGCCTGGACCGTCGAAAATATTTTTCTCGAGATCGGTGATGGTCGTCAAATGACACCCGTTCGTGGCTGAGCCGTTGCGTTCGTGTGATTGTATTTTTTAATTTTTTTTTGTTATTTGCTATTAATCACAAGGTTTATCTCCAGGTTCTATCCCTGTTTATCGGAGTCTCCGCCATTTCCAATATATTTAAGTTTCTGTCGCACGTGTTGAGAGTTATCCACAGTCGCATGGGATAGAATCCAACGGGACTCGAGTATACCGAGGTGACGGGGGCTATGCCTCCCCTATTATTGTTATCTTAATTGTAATTTTATCGTCACATATTTTTTTTCAATATTATAAACTGAATTATTATTGCAATCAGTGTGAAGTGCCCATTTGCAATCATTTAAATTATTAATATATTGTAATATACAGCTATAAAAAAAATTAAATTGTAGTTTTCCATTTTTTGTTATTATAAAATAAGCCATCCCACGACACCCTTACCGAACCGAAAACGACGTGTGAGTCTTGGATCTCTATATTTATTATATTTTAATTGCGTACGACAAAAACGTAGGCAGGAGCGTATTTAGACTTACTTCTACGGAAGGGGTTACTCAAATTTTTTTTTATTGTGTCTCAAAATGTACAAGTAAAATTTTTGGTAATATTTAAATCAGGTGAATCCTTAATATTTGTGTTTTTTTTTTTTTTTTTTAATCTTATACCGGATCCACTTAGAATCGATTTTGTATAGTTCTTTTTTAACACCGGTTTGTGTTTTGAAAATTACGCTTGTATTTTATTTGATTTTCTACTAAGTATGGACCCGACAAAAAGCTCAATTCAGTATTCACAGTTTAAAATGTGTATCTCACATAAACTCAATTCCTTAAATACGGATTCAGGGGGGCGACCTCCCCTTCGCCCCCCTAAATACGCCCATGGATGTAGGCGTAGTAGCCCGTCGGAACCACAAAAAACAAACGGAAAGAACACACATGCTGTCAATTATCGTTGTAAATGAAGCTATAGAATGAAATGAAAATATAGAATACGAGTTACTTGAATATTAATGAATAATAATAACTTATAATCAAGTATTATTTAAGTATTATTTTATTCTACTAATCCATTAATTACAAATATCTGATCTTACACTCAGTATCATATTTTTGTGGGAGGGGTGGTTCACGGTTGTTAACTTCCCTCCCCCCCAGAACAAAAAGATTCAAAATTTTTAAATGAATTGATATGAAGGTACAGAGAAAGAGAACATTAATTTATATTTATATTAATTTATATCATATGGTTGTAAATAACTTTTAATATGTATTTTTTATATTATGAAATCAATTATTTTCTAGAAAAATTTAAACCCCCCCCCCCCACAAAAAAATTTGAAAGTACGCCACTGGTAAGTTTACTTATATCCAATTCCAGAACCTTAAGGCTTACGACTCGAGGGATTGTGTAAAGTTAGAATATGAAATTTTAATTGGAGAAGGCTTAAAATTATTATTTGGGATGCCACATTATTAATTTTATTGATAAAATTTTATTTTTTAGCATTATCTTTATTATTAATTTACCTATATAACTATTAATGCCATCAAACATTTAAAGTTACTTGGGTTATTTTTAATAATTTATAAAAAATTAATTTTTTAATTGTTGTAAATATTAATTAAAAAAAAAAATCATTTAATAATAATTGTAACATTTTTTTTAGTTTGAATAAAATAAGCAAACACAGTATAGTTCATGACAGTTACAAATGAAGTATGACTATTCTTAGCAAATAAAAAAAAAAAAAAATGCTCAACTTTTTTAACTACATAAATATTTTATCATAGATTTCAATAAGTCTTCAATTTATCTACATTTGTTACATCTTTTTATCTTTAGTATCTGCATACATACCTTCAATGTAATAAAAAAAAAAGAAATATTTCATATTGATCCAAGAGTTTTAATAAATTTTATCTAAGAAATACACTTAAGGAATTCTTAATTGAATTATCACTTAATTTTAAAAAATGATTTCATTAAATAAAAAAGTCATAGTTTGTCATAAGATTTACAGTGTATGCGACCATTTTACTATACATGATAATTTAATTTTTGTAATATTTACGTATAAACGAAAAATTTAAAAAAAATTTAACTTGATAGATCCTTTTTAAATCAACTGTAAAATGCAAAGTTAAAATGCCAATTAATCTAGTTAAGTTAAAAAGTTAAAAAAATTAACTTTTTAACTTGACTTTTTTTTAACTAGTTAATGCCCACTTTTGCATCTCAAAACTATATGAACTCTAAATTTTACATGGTGGTCTCTCCAACATTTAATACATGCAATAAGAAGGGAATTTAAAAATATTGCAACCAGAAAATACGGTAATTCAGCGTATCACCAAATTACTACACTGATTCATTTGAACTTTTGTTTCATTTGTTTTATAACCACCAACAGTTACACCAAACTTGGCTTCTTTAAATAGTATAAAGTAATAATCCATTAAAACCTATGTCACAGCCAAGAATTTTTCGTGCAAAGCCGGGTAATTAAGCTATTAATTTATATTTGTATTTATATTTATTTTTTAAAAGAAGAAAACAAAATGCAAGAAGGAATTTATTAAAATTAAACAGTAAACCTTGAGTTTATCTTGCCAAATGTTTGGTGTACATTTTAAAACATGGCTACACATATTATTATATTTTTATTATTAGGAGATGTTTGGTAGTTATATCAACAATTTGGTGAAATAAGTTTAAAATTAGATCTGAAATCAAACTTAATGACTATGTCTATGTTTACTGTAGTGGCAAAATGGAGAACTTGATTACATGAAATTTTCAACACTTTTATTAGTTTCAAAAGTAGGTTTATAGCTATAGGGTATTAGAAAGATATACATTTGAATGGTTTACAAGGTAAATTATATTATAAAAATGGTAAATTCAACAAAAAATTAAAAATGTTTATCATAATATTTTTTTTGAGCTCGTTGAAATGCATCTATTATTGCAGTCCTAGAAAAAAAAATTTAAAGATTAATGATAGATAATAAATATATTATAATAGATAATATTTACAATACATATTAAATCACTACAAATTATCAACATTTAATTATTTTAATCAATAATAAAATACTTTTGAATGAACCTAAAGTAAAAATGTTTAAAAATGTAAAAAAGTTGAATGATCGGGGTTTTTTTTAGACATTATTATAGTTATATTTATAACTCAATCAAAATTGGAAAATTTAAAATTATCAATATTTGAGTTTAACTAATAATAATGAATGTGGAAAGTAGTAATTTTTAGTCTTAATCAAATTTCATTGAAACATGTCAATATGCTACATCTAATTATACATATATATATATATAATATATTTTGTGAATATATTTTTGATTTATTAACTTATCACAGGTGTTATAAGTTTTTAACTACTGAATATTCTATATTTTGTTTTAAAAGTAATATTTTATTATAATTTATGGAATATATATTCAATAATAATTTTAAAATAATTATGAATGATAAGATACTTTATTTCTATATATTGATTTAGGGAAAGATCAAAGCCATTATATATTTTTTCTGGAATTTGAAATTGTACAGAGCAACTATCACATTTCTTTTAAACATAAGATTCAATATACACATTTTCAGAGAAAATTTTTACGTATTTCAAGGATTTCTAATACTTATGTTATTATTTAAATATGATTAAATGTAAAGTGAAAATAAAAATTTTATGTTTACTTGAATGTGTTTCGATGAAGTAAAAAAGCTATAACATGTCCTGTATCAACATATCTAACTTCTGTGCCTGGCCAAATATCTTCAAATTTGTCCATGTTATTTTGAGGTACATAACCATCATGTTTTGCACAAACTGCTATGATTAAATCAATGTCAACAGGGGACTTGAAATTTTTTAAATGAGTACATTCATCCATAATACCTCTCATAAAACTCAATGCTTCTAAATTTAAATCTGAAATATTATATTTAATAATTAGTCAACATACAATAAAAAATGTACTATACAACCTTGACTTTTTGATTGTTTATTGAAAAATCTCATCATGTGTTTTAATAATTTCAAGTCCTTCTTAATTTGAAGTTCATTACTTTCCTCAATTGTTAGATCTTTAATATTATCAAATGAATTAGTTGATTTTAATGTGTTTAACTTCTGAGAATGAAATGTATTTAAGGAAGTTTTATCATTTTTTAAATTATCAAACATTAAATTTGACTGCATATTTAAATGTGATTCAGCACTAATATCTTTTATAAATTGTTTTCCTGCATTGAACTCGTTCTGTAAAATTAAAAAAATATATAATATATAATTATATATTATAATTAAATATTAAAACATTTCAGGGACCTCAATAATATAGAATCCTGTGTTACATAGATTTTTTATTTTATTCTAATTTAAACTATGAATATTTTTATTAAATAAATAAAAACTTTTATTAATTACAATAATTATTTGGTTTTATGAAATTCCACAAGGCAGTTTTCACCTAGTAATAATTATTAATGATTTATACAAAATTGAATGAACAGCATCATTATATATTACTGTTACAACTGGAATAATAACTAAATAACTAAAAGATTTATTAAGATAACTTAGAGGATTTCTTAAGTACACACGTTTTTGGAATGCTATGATAAATCAATTATTACTATTGCTTAGGCAGTAAAATCATAAAAAAATTAGATTCTTTGAATATTTGCCTTAGCATCTTGGATTTACTTATGCCTATGACTTATTATAGATACAACAAACACCTGGTGAACATAGTGTCCTAACACTTTTTCAATTTTATATATTACAGATAATACTTAAATATTTACATATAATTTGTTGACTTTGTTGTTCATATTTACAACTTCGTTTTTGTATACTGAATTTGATTTATATTGATTTTCAAGTAAATCCCAGTCAATTGCACAGCTTATAGCACCCTATAATAACAGTAGAAATTAATATTTAAGTTAGTACTTAAGTATAATATTTAAGTAATTTATAGTACACAAATACAAATAATGTTAGTAAATACACTTTAAGTTGAGTTGTAAATTCAAGAGAAAGTCCTCTCAGAAAAATAAAATAAATTGTTAGATTATTTAGTATGGTAACATAAAATGTTCAAAAATATATACAAGTTATTGTAGGAGTTTATTATCAATTGTTCTAATGTAAAATAACTATGGATTATATCATATATAATATCCGATAAATGATAATAAAAATGCTGATAAATTTTTAATACCTCTGTAAATACTCCAGAAGCTGTCGTACCAGATAAACAAGGAACAAGCACAATTGGTTTAGGCCAACTTGCAGCAGCTAAAGAGGCCATCTAAATAATATTTATAAATAAAAAATATAATCAAAATTTTTTTAAAATTTTTTGGGGAAGAGTAAAATATTTAAATTTTGAATTACTTACTATTGAATTAATAGTAATAAAGTCTTTCATTATTTAAATTAATTAATTGTTAACACTTACATGTCCACCCATAGATAAACCAGTGACTCCAATGGGTCCAAATCCTTGACGTTCACACCAATGAAATAATACAAGGGATTCCAGGATCAAACATCCACCCATTACAAATATATCAGAAACATTGCACAATATAGATCTTCTGTAAATCAAAAAATGTACATCAAATAAACACTTTATTCAAAAAACATCTAATTATCTATAGTAATTAATTTAATTTAATTTAGCAGAACAAAATGAAAATACTAATATTTTTATTAATATTATTTCAAATCTTGACACTGAAAATTATTATATATAGATTTACAATTAATACATAATTAATTAATATAAAGTTATTACCTTTACAAGCCGACTTCTGAGTTATTTAGAATAGTGGTATTCATTCCAAAAAATACACATTTTAATTTATTTATGCTTAATTATAGTTATATAGTAGAAAATAATGATCGAAGAAAAATAATTAAATATTAATAGGGTGGTTATTTACTGTATTGAATGAAATTAACTTTATGGGACAAGGTATGTATAAGACTAAGTGGGATAGAAAGTAGAACCAGGGGTAATAGTGATGAGATTTTATAAGATATAAGTAATAAGGCAATCAATATGGAATGAATCTAAATTTAAAGGCAGTGCATAAGATAACAGAATAGAGGGTAAGTATAGTAGAGATGAGAAATCTAAGATGGATGGATATATAGAGTGACGTCGTAGAAAAAATAAATCACAAGTACACGAGAGGTAATTAAAGAGTTGAAAAAATTGAGATGGTTTAGGCGTGTTATAAGAAGAAATAGTGAACGTTTTTAAATAATCATATATGTTTAATTATTAGGAATTTCCTAAAACAACATTTTAATCTCAATTACAACATATGACTATTCTTGAGTTTTAAATTTTATTATCTAATCCACAACGAAATGTTTAAATTAGCTATTCATAAAATTACTTTATACAAAATTATCTGCAATACAAAATAGTTATTAAAAGAATAATAATACAATAACATAAACCTACATTTATAAGACATCAAATTATCTTGTTTAAAATATATTTAATATATTTTAACATTAAATAATATAACTAAAATGTAATTTGATAGAATTTAAAATATAATTTTTTTGATAAAAAAAGCAATACAAATATAATATGATATAAATAAATATTAGTTAGTAAATATCAATTGTTTTACTATATTAAAAAAATAAAAATCGATGATCAAACAAAAAATAGTATACAATATATGAAATACTAACACTTGGTTAATTGGTTTTCTTTTTCCATAGAATGGATTTTCTAAAATTATTGATCCAATCCCTGCTTCTTTTACAAGGGGGTTTGCAAGTATAGTTCGCCTTCTCCAATAATACTAAAATATTTAATAAAAAATAAACAGAAAATATTTAGATATATTTATTTTAAATTCTATAATTCAATATCCAGATTCTGAAAAAATTAAGACAACTATTCATAGATAAATTATAAATATTTATTAACTAAATATTACTTGGTCTCCAGTGCCTGCCATGTGTAAACATATTGGTTTGACATTTTTGGTAGGCCATTTTTTTGGTAATATAACTTGGAAATGGGCAAGATGACTTTCTTTAGGTACAATATCTGGAAGATAATAAGAAAAAGGTGATTCAAATACTCCTTCTAATGTTATTGAATCAGTATCTTCTTTTTTCTGAAATAAATAAAAAATGTAATAATAAGAAAATACATTTTAATAATGTATTTATTTTAAAATATTTACTTTAACAATTTTTACGGGATAATCAGATGATACAAGTTTGTAACATGAATCTCGATCTATAATGATTTTTCTGAATTGAAATAAACTAAAACCATAAAAAATATTAAATTATCATATATTATGTTTATAGTATAGATAAATAAAAATGTAATGAGATAAATGTTATATAATATGTTATTTAATATCATTTTCATTTAATATATTTAACTATATTTTATTTTAATGTACAACTTTTATAATGTCACAATGTAATACCTTATTTATTGATATATTTGCTAAAAATAGTAGTTTAAACTTCATTAAAAGTAGCAGTAATAATATTAATTGTTACCTCATTCAATATAACATACATGTTTTTAGAGGGCTCACTGATTCTCAAAATTGAAGACTTTGTACTTTTGTCTATAATTACTAACATATAATATTTATACAAAGTAAACATTTTTAAAAAAATAATTTATAGTTATGGATTATAAATAGTGAGTGGTATACTGTGTTGAAAAAAAAAACACTATATGCAAAAAACTGCAGAACTAAACAAATGTTCTAATACTATAAGGAACCAGTGGCGCAACAAAAGGGTCCCAGGTCTTGACCCCCCTCCCTTGAACTGTGTCGTATCTTTCTAAAATAATAAAAAAGTTGGACAAAATTGAATAATTTATTCGAAGATCGATTTAAGAAATTCCACATCAGAAAGAAGACCAATGGATTGGCTGCTCTCAATGTCTACTATGAAGTCAGTGTAACACCTGAGGAAATAATAAGACATTTAAGCTATACAAAACATTGCAATTTATAAACTTGTACATACCTTGTACCTTTATTTTTTACATAATACATTTAATTATCATTCAATTTTAAACTAAAATTACAATATTTATATTTTTGGATCCTCTCCCTTAAAAAAAATCCTGGTTGTGTCACTGTAAGGAACTAAACTACATAAAAGGATGGTAGAAAATTCTGAACATGAAAATAATATTTGAAATATTTTGGACTTATAAATGTTATACTTTTTTTGCTGACAATTTTTAAATTATTACTAATAATCTAATAATTTATTAGAAATGAATTGAATAAATATAAGTACTTAAATAATTTTTACTTTAGTAGGTATTTTTTTTATTATTTGATAAACCTACATAGATATATAATTAGTTGAATAAGTCTAACAACATGCTAATTATAGATATAATTTATGACTTCAGAGTACATGTCAAATTTATGAGCAATGTTTTAAATTTTTAGACATTTTTAATATAGATATTTTTATTAAAATAAATCAAGTTTAGATATAATAGTGTAATAGTATAATACAATGGTTTCCAAGTAGTATGAAATCACAGACTTCTAGATATACCGTGGACCCCTTAATTCAACATGGTCCCTTGGGGGTTCGTGAATCACCAATTGGAAACCACTGGTATAATAAAATATTCCATTTTAAAAATTAATTTTGAAATAAAATATATTCATAATATAATTACATAAAATAAAATGTACTGCTAATAGAACTATTTAAAATAAATGACTTACAGCTACTATGATATATGATTAGACAAAATGCAACAATATTCAATTGATAAATATGGTATTTTATTAACAATGCCTCAAATTATTGGTAGATAATATTTTACAGTAGGTAAGTAAATTGCATATTGATCCAAATTGACCAGCTAATACTTTGGTAAAATCTTAAAAAAAAATAAAGAAAATAAAAAAAATAATATAAATATATTACTCACCTTTTAAGTTTTTCGGGATCACCCCAACCATTTACAAAGTATTTAGTAAGCAACAATTTTCTGTACAAATAATCAAATTTATTAATTGTCATATTGTATTTTGGTATGAATACACAATATAATAATTATTTGTTACAAATTACAATAGGGAACTTCATCTAAACATTTCTCAGCAATTAACACTTATAAATACTTTTGAAATACTTTGTATTTAGATATGATATAAACAATTTAAGGTCAAAAAGGTTATACATGGATAATAAACAAAAATATTTATGTATAAAATATATTGTTACGTAAAAATACAAAAGTATTTTGGCAGGTACTGTCACATATCTGTTAAAAAAAAATATATATATATATATATAAATAAAAACTATTACAAACAAATTCATAATCAGAAATACAACTAAAATTAAGTACTTACAGTCTTGTTATAGCACAGAACAATAGTAATAGTATTTAGCTATTAAGTGGTAACAGCATCTACTGTTTATAGCATTTTGAATGGTTAACTAATATTATAAAATACTCTATGTCTAATTACTAAAACTCAAATTTGTATTTTTGAATTTTCACATTTGGTTTACTTTGAAAAACGAAACATTATCAGATAAACTGTATGTGTGACCTTGAATATAAATATGATAAGCCATTTCAATTAAATGACTTATTGTCATAGAAAAGGTAATATATAGGTTAATATCTTAATGTTTTTTATAAATTTAATAATTACGAATTTGATTAGAGATGAAATATTTTTGAACACTAATGTATCGATACGACTTACATCAATTTTTTTAAATATAGGTATTTTCAAAACATTGGATTTTCGAGGAAAACAGCGTTTTTCGATGATTTAATATAAAATATTTTCATAGCATAAACAAGCAGAGAAAAAAATCTTTCGATTATGACAAGCAATCGCTCATATTTACAAGACTAGGGGATCGAATTTTCAATATTCTTAAATCTTCTAGAATTCTACATTATCTCATATGAATTATGCACAGAATTCTATACTCGTATAATACATTATTATATATGGAAATCCGTGGGGTTATGACACCGATAACAGTGGTGTGGTGACAAAATCTCAGACCCTGGCATAATTACATATATAAAACCACCCCATCCACTCACCTTTACGCATTCCTTG